CCACAAATACACTTGCAGAAATGTTTTGCATTGGTGTCTCAGTCTGATCAGTTTGGGGGTGTAGCCAAGAGCCCACGTAACCGACTCTGAGCTTCACAAAGGAAGAGCCAAGTGTAAGGAAAGCAACAGTAGGTCAGTGGAAGCAACATTTATGACATCTAAAACGGGCCTCCAGCTATCAAAGCCAGCCTACGCTCTGTTCGGAATCCAACTAGTCTTGCCAGCCACCGTACCTCCCAATCTGCCATCTGTGTCATGAATTACACAGCACTTCTGCATAGTCACGAAACTCCAGCTGCCACTGAGCGAAGCTCAACAGCAAACCTTGCACACTAAAAATACATCCTCTTCCCCTGGCTATTTGAAGAGCGGATAGGCCCCATCCGTTCTGTCGGCTCACTAAATCAGCTGTACCTGAAGCTGCCAGCTACTTGTGTACTTTCAATGCAAGATACAGCTAGCAGGAAATGGTGTTCCTCAAAACACCCACAGATGCTCCGTCAAAAAGCTCAGCACTCTAGAGGCTTCTCTATCCAGGGCAGTTGTCAGATTTGGGGCAGGAGCAGGGTGGGGAGAAATCTGCAAGAAGCATGGACTTGCCAATAGCTAGTAATAAGTTGCAATTAAGTTGTTTTTAATATGTTAGTGATAATGCATTTTGCATTAATTGCTAACCACCAATGATTAAAGTTATTAAATATAATTAAGTTTACTAGAGGAACAGGAAGATTCATCTCATTAACCACTGACATGTTTGTGTGATACAGGAAGTGTGGCTCAGTGCCTGAGCTATGATGGCCAAGTTGTATTAGATTATTCTTCGCAAGTTTTTCTACTTTTAAAATATTTTTGTTTTAGACAAAGGTAACAAGACAAAGGTAAGAAGGGCCCCCCGACTTGTTCACACAGTCACCTATAAGACAAAATCCATAGGTAGCCCTCTACAGTGGGCAGCTGATAAAATATGTTTTGCCTTTCCGGTTTTCAAAAAAACTCAAAAGCTGAACACAAACAGCCTGAAACTTCAAAGCTGAGCCAAATTTCCGTATTCACTCTTAACAAAGGAATGAAGAGATTTGTGAGGAGTGGGTGGGGACACAGCATTTTCCTTGAAAAAGTAAGCATTTTCTTCAAGCTTTTTCCATCCAAGATTTTACAATTTCTCACTGGAAGAAATCCATTCGCAATATTGAGAGTTTTTATTACAGCAGCCCAAATGCATTCCTAGAATACAGTTGATTAATATTTAGCAAGATGTCTGTGTAGAAAGAATGGAGATTGTGTTTTTTTAAAAAGCTGTAAAGCATTTTTTTTGGGGGGGCGGTAAGAGGCAGTCCTTTTCTTTCAAAAAAATCCATAAATCAAATTAAACCACTGATACCATGGGAGCTGCCACCCTGTTGGTTTTGTATTTGTTCTTCTAACTTCTGCATTTTGCTTATTTTAAAAATAGACTTTGTTCAGCTGTCCATGTTGTGACATGGCTAAAGTCCTCAGTTCCTTCTCAGATAGGTGCTTGGAAAGAGTAAAACACAAGCAGCCTGACTCCCATGGCAGCTTTACTGAGAAATTGCCCTGAGTTCAACAGAAATCGCTCCCAATGACTTAGGAGTCTACCTAGTAGTAGCCTATATATTTTTTGTTTATGCAGAAGATAACTAGTATAATCACATGAAGCAATTTGTTCCCACTCCAACAGCAGTCCACCTTAAGCATGCACTTCCTAATAATGGCATATCTGTGAGAGTTAATTGAGGGCAGGGAGGGCAACAAGATGAGACCAAGGCCCAATGAAGTGTAATCTACCCAATCTACCTTTCCCTCCATTACCAGCATTGCTGAGAAAAATAACAGAACCAGCTTTCAAAGAGTTCTTCAAGCAGTGGCAGCAGAGGCATAGAAGGATGGGCACAGGATACAGAATCACAGGATGGTAAGAGCTGGAAAGGACCCGAAGGGTTATCTAGTTCAACCTCTTGCAATGCAGGAATCTCAGCTACAGCATCCAGTAGTCCAACACCTTTCAATTAAAGCTTAGTAGCCTGAACAGAATTCAGATTCCTATCCTTACATCTTGCACTTCCTAAAGCTCAGATCTGCTAATACGGGCCTCTAGGTGCCTCATAGCTCAGTGGAAAGGAACAACACGTTTGTATGTCAAAACTCCTATGTTGAATCCCTGGCATTGCAAGTCCAGATGAGACTCTCGAGACCCTGGAGAGCTGCTGGCTCTCAGTGTAAACAGTGCTGAACTGGATCATTTGACTCTAGGACAGTGTTCTGTATTCTACTTGGGCTTTGAGATATCAAAAGGCAAAGCCAGCATTGTTTCTAGGTTAGCCTTCCCTGTTCTTTTGCCGTACAGATGTTTTATTATTAATGATTATTATTATATTGTTATTTATTATTATTAGATTTGTATACAGTTGTACTTTGGAAGCCAAACGGAATCCATTCCGGAAGTCCGTTTGATTTCCAAAACGTTCGAAAACCAAATCACGGCTTCTGGTTGGCTACAGGAAGCTCCTGCAACCAATTAGAAGCCGCGGAAGCCCCATCAGTCGTTCAGGTTCCAAAAGAACGTTTGCAAACCGGAACAATCATTTCTGGGTTTGCAGGATTTGGGAGCCAAAACGTCTGAGTTCCAGGGCGTTCGATAACCAAGGTACAACTGTACTGCCCTATACCTGCAGGTCTCCAGGTGGTTCACAACATAAAAGCACAATATAAAAGCACAAAATACATAATGAAAACAAAAAGAACAACCCAATCTCAAATGTGCTTTGAGATATCAGAAGGCAAAGCCAGCACCGTTTTCAGGTCAGCCTTCCCTGTCCTTTTGCCCTCCAAATGTTTTTGACTACAACTTTCATCAGCCCCAGCTGGCCATCAATTGTTAGGGATGGGAGTTATAGACCAGCAACATTTGGAGGGCAGCAAAAGCTGGGGAAGGCTCTTCCAGGTGGACTATTATTTTTGGCGGGGAAGGGGAAGGAAGAAAGTCCTTTATTTCTAGGATCATGACTTAATCCTGAAAACTAAAGCTTCACAGAATGACAGTCAACACAATTTACACTAGCACAACTGCATTCTTTTGGAAGCATCAGTCTGGCAATCTACCTTTCTGGTTAACGTGGCAAGTTGACAAAAGTCCACTCACTTTGCCATGTTCTCTCATGACATGTCAAGGTAGGGCAGAAAGTCATTTTGACTGTTTTATGGCGAGTGCCCTAAGAGACTGCTATGGATGACTGGTGAGGAAGTTCTGCTGAGGCTCATCTATGTAAACATTTTGTGCAAGTCCTAACAGGGACTTTACAATCTGAAGATGGTGAATGCCAAATAAATCCATGCAACTCTTTGAAACGGACAGCCTGCCTCTTAAGGAACATAATTCTCCTATGGAGGAAGTGTGTGGGAGACAGAATGAGAGCAACATTTTCTTGCTATCATCGAACTCCAATTGTTTATTCTATCCAGGATTTCTTAAGAAGTTACACCTGACCTTTAAGGCGCCAGGGGGTGGGGGGAAGGAGAGGGAATCCATGTTTTGATGCTATCGAAGGAGCAGCCTCTGTGTAGGTCTTTTTTTTACAACCAATTACATATGTGCTAGTTGGATGATCATACATGTCAGGCATGACAGCGTTTGGCACCTCGCTCTGTTCCGCACCATTTAAGAACTGAAATTGTCTGAAAACTAAAGCAGAACAGAAGCTTGCCCATCGCATTCAAGTGCTTCCTTTGTGGGCTCTCAGCTAGCGAGTGAGAAAGAATTCCAGAGGTCATCTAATCCAAGAATGGAGAACCTATTGCATCCAAAGTACCCCCTGCAGATTATGACCAGAGACCCGAAACAGCAACATATGCTTAGATTGCATGCACAATAACAGAGCCCCCAAGGACAACCAAAGTTGCAATAAATGTACTCAAAACCTCCTGTTGTTTTTGGAAAGGTTTATAATCCTTTGCAATGACTGCATGACACACAATTTTCTTTCCTTCCTTCGGCATACAGCCCCCAAAGAGCAACAGGTGCCCATCAGGTCTCCAGGCCTTCGCTCCTCCCCACTTTCCAGCTAGTCTTTGCAACCCAGACCCTAGGCTAGCTGCAGAACATCAAATGCACTTTCAACATATCCATTTAATATTTACATTCAAGCAATTCATAATAATTGGAAGCTTATAGTTTAGACATTTCTAGTAGCAGCAGTTTCTATAATAGCTTGTTTAGCTTTAGATAATGATTATTATTAACTTTTTTTTTTTTGCACACTGAAAACAAGAATGCGTTGGACACAGTATCAAAAAATATATACCAGAGGGGAAAAGGGATGGTCCTGCAGTTTTATGAAAAGGAAAAGTAGGGGGGGAAACGAAAACCAGAAGTGGCTTTTAAAAAGGGACGAAAATGAAAATATTCTGATATAGCTTTTAATATATATATAATATATGTATTTAATATAATTATATATATATAGGGCAAATCTAGGGAAACTCCATAAATCTAGTCTTTTCTTAATATTTCATTATATAAATACCTACAAATAAATATAATTGCGTGGCCCACCTTGGAGGGGAGGAGGGCTGCCTTCAGCTCAAACAATACATTTTCAGCAACACCACATACAAACGGGAGCAAGAACGACTCGACAAGTTAGCACTGTTAAAATATAATACTATGTAACTCTCCCGTCAAGTTAACTGGGAAGCTGCCACCCTGACTTCCTCCTGGTGCACGAGGCCCAGGGAGGGTGGAGATGGCCCGTCCCCCGGAGGAACCAACCAAGATGGAAGACCACCCTCTAGCGAAGGAGAATCGCCACACCCCACCCTCCCTTCTTCTGGGGCGTGGCAGGGGTCGTGGGCCACTTCTGATCTTGGGTGGGTGGCACCATAGAGTTACTCTCTGGGCAGAACAATACCTTAGAGGAGGAGGAGGAGGGATGAGGGGGTCATGTGTCAGGCTGCCCAGGGAGAGGGCCGAAGCCTGCGCCTCCTCACACTGTCACATATTCCTTAAAGGTCACAGTCAGGCAGTTCGCCGTCACATCCGTTATTATTATATTCCCAAAGAAAGGCTTGAACTCCTGCACGGGCTCCTCCTCCTCTTCTTCCTCTACCTCAAAGTGTTCCACCGATTTCGGAGGCTCCGGTGCTGGCGGGTCGGCCGGCGCCGGCAAAGTCTCTGGCTTAATGTGCACCAGGCCGGGCTCACTGTCCCCCCGCACCTTGACGCACCGCAAGTCTATGGGCTCGTCCAAGTCTGAGTCCAGCAGGATGACCTCGGGCTGGGAGGCGGGAAGCGCTCGGGCCTCTGGTCTCTCTGGGGTAGGAGGGCTGAGGCAAGTGGGGGCGCTGATGCTCCGGGAAGTGAGGCGCTTCTTGCCGCCCTCCTTGTCCCTGTGGGGTTCGGAGAGGCAGCGCTTGCGCGACCCACCGCAACTGGGCGAGAGGTTCAGCCCCACACATGACGCAGCAGCAGCAGCAGAGTTCTGTTCCTGCGGCCTGGAGTCCAGGGACCACGGGGAGAGGTTGGGCTTGGTGGTGAGCTGAAGGGGTTGCTGTTCAGGAATGTGCGGCTCTTTGCTAGAGGCTGTAGTCTTTTGGCAGTTGGTCCCATGCTCGGCAGGCATTTTACTTGCCTCTGCCCCCGATTTCCCTTGGGGGTCGCTGCCCAGCCATCTCTCCGCCCCGGGCTTTTTCCACGACTCCTGCCTCTCCTCGGAGGCCCCCCTCTTAGCAGTCCTGTCCTCAGCCACCCGCTTCTTGGGCGCTTCTCCAGATTTGATCTTCACGGCCTGCATGCCGTTCTCCATGTACTTGCTCATGACAATCACAATGCGGCCGTTCTTGTTCTTGTTCTTGACGATCTTCATCTTGCCGCCTATTCCGTTGCTGGTCACGCCGTCCCGGGGAGGGGGCGGTGGGGGCGGTCCCGTGCCGCTGGAAAGGTTCTTCTCTGCACCGTTCTTCCCTTCGGCACCCCCCAGGTTCTTCACAGGGTTCAGCAGGCTCTTGGCCGAGCCATGAGACCATTTGTCCATGTGGGACATCAAGGGGCTCTTGCTGTGGTCCAAGCAGGCCTGCCCTTGCTGAGGCTCCTTGCTGCCGGGCTGGTAATGGGGCTCGTACATCTTGGGGTCAGGCTGGTAGTGGTGGTGCTTCTTGCTGTTCAGCTGGTAGTAGTATTTCCCTTTGCCGTGAGACTTGATGTTGCTCTCCTTGCCGTTGGGCTGGTACTGGTGGTGCTTCTTGCTGTTGAGTTCGTACTGGTGCTGCTGGCTTTTGCCAGAGCTGCCCAGGTCCAGCTTGGGCCTGTTCTCCACGGCAGGGTCTTGGAGGCCAGTGAGGACATTGGAACGGCGTGCAAAGGATGGCAGCTGCAAGAAGGAGGAGGAGTGGGGGTGGGGGAAAACAGTCCATTAAGGGCTTTGAAAGAGAGAGGGCAGCACATTTTACAAGCCTATAGAAACAGATCCTATAAGACCCAGAACTTTTAACAGCAAGTTTTTAAAGGATGCTGTAAACAAGCTCTTTTTGGACTACAAATCCCATCATCCCTGACCACTGGTCCTGCTAGCTAGGGATGATGGGAGTTGTAGTCCAAAAAAACAGTTGAGAGGCCCAAGTTTGGGGAAAACCCTGTTTTAAATGCCTAGTCCAACAACCTCATCCCACCTTTCCCCTAACTGGCTGAGATATAGGTGAAATTAGAGGCGACATTCTTTTAGTCAATGGCCCTTTGGAGCACAAGGGGGAAAGGATGTCTAAGAAACGTATGTGGAAATCAGGGCAGGCTGGGGCAGGGACAATGCTGCTGTGAACAGCACTCCTTGGCTCCTGTTACATATTTCTTGCCAAGGCACAGGCATCTTGCATTGTAGGTCTCCGCAAGTGAAGCAGGAAGTGTATTTCACAGCCAACTGGGCTACCAAACACAGAATGCAAGGTGGAAGAGAACACCTAAGAATTCTCCTTCTGCTGATTCAAAGACTCCACCAATAAATCTCTTTTGCGGGACACAGAGGGCTCAGTCATGGTCACCCACGACAGAGACCGCATTTGCTGGGCCTTCTCAGAATATATTCCACACATGCTGGCAAAAGGACCTATGAAGTCACAGGATGGCCAGGGCTTCCCCTGTTATTTACAGTTAACAAGGCATGTGTGTGTGTGTGTGTGTGTACAAACACGCTGTCTCCCAGAGCATGATGAAACCAAGATGAAATCCTCTTCCCCTGGGAAAGGCACCAGACAAGGAAGCGGATATTTATTAATTAAACAAAAACATAACAGGCGTTCAGAAAGCCTTTTAAAAAAATCAGCTTGCTCAGCAAGATTCGCATTTCAGGATTTGGCTAGATCTACTGTTACTGTCTTATCTCACTTTGAAAGTTAGGAGAGTAGGAAGCAGAGGAACTGATTGGATTTACCTGAACCACCAATGGCTTTGGTTTTGGTCCTCGTTTGCGGTACCCCATAAGTTGCTCCTGCCTCTCCCTGAAGAGATATAAAAATCAATAGCGATGCAATTAGGAAACCTCTCTTCCAACAACACACTAAAGAGAACAAGGGAGGGAAAAGTGTCCTTTACCGCGCGGGTTAACCGTGAACACAAGATTAAGGCTGCAATCCTAAGCACTCTTACTTGGGAGTAAGCCACACTGAGCACAGTGGGACTTCTAAGTAAGGAATCACAGAGCTAGGCAGCATTTTTAGTGCAGAGCAGCAGCAGCAGCAGCAGGAGGAGGCTACAGCACTAAAGGCAACAAGACAAAATGCTAAAAGGTCACGGGAATTAACACAAGCCAGCAAGCACTGCTGCCTCGAGCCCCTACAGGTTATCAGTTATTCCAGCGGAGAGGGGCGAAATGCAGAGACATGCAAAGGGTGGGAGAAAATTTCACACAGCACCGAAAAAACACCTTTCATGCTTTGCACATGTAAATGCTAAGGCAGAGTAACAAGTGGAAGAACAAGTTAAAAAACAATAACCCAGAATACACAGAGTAACCCAATATGGGCATAAGAAACACTCCCTCCAAGTTAGTATGCAACCCTGCACACTTTCCAGGGAATGAGTTCCATCAAATTCAGTCGGATTTACTCTTGAATATACATGTATAGGATTGCAGTTAGTGCAATGCATGAAAATGCCCTGCATCTCTATCCCCAAGAAATTATCAAGATCTACGAATTCACAGACAAGTAAATAAATAAAAATCTAGTTCTCATGGAGACCAGCATTTTCCGCAACCGTGCAAAAAGGCATAGAAATGCAATAGCTTTCAAACCAGCCAATCTGATATTTTGCAACAAAACAAGTCATTGAATTACTATGGCCAAGTCTCTCAGGGGGCCATTTTAGCACTTTAAATGGGGCTGAAACATATCTTTTCCGAGGCTGCTTTATCTTGGTTTGCCAACTAACCCACCATTTTGGTAGAAGTTTTAATTTTAAAATGTCAAAACAAATACAGATGCTGCAATTCTAAGAACATTTGGGAGAAAGCAAGTCCTATGTAGATGACATAAATGTCTATTCAAAAGTAGGTTTCCTCTAGTTTTGATGGGGTTTATTCCAAGAAAAGTAAAATCACACTCTAAGTTGAGTTTATTTCCAACGAAACACACTTAAGGTTTTGCTTACAACTAGGTCATAAAAACTCACTGAAAACCATGGGGAAGGGGCTTACTTCCGAATAAACATGGTTAGGAGAACCTGGGTGGAAACAATGACTGCCAACATTTAAGCTTTTCTTTCTGCTCACACTCCTCTCCCTGCCACAGGAGACGTTCTTTACTGGGTCCCTTTTTGCTTATCTTAAGAAACCACCCATAAAATTAGCAGTCTGCAAGGAGATTGTAGAAAGGTGCAAATGTGCACTGGCAGTTAAGGGAGATCTTGTGTAATGGCAAAAACATCTGGGTGCTGACAGCAAATCCTAAACAAAGTGCATCCCAGGGGGAAGTCCAGGCAAGTCCCCACCCTCCTTGCACTCATTTCCCCCAGGCTGTAGGTGTTTGGGTAACCAGCAGCCAACGTCCCACCCATCCCACGCGCTGCCTGCAGAGGAGATGGGAGTCACGAAACCAAACACACACAACGCGGCAGGAAAGCAGGAACTGCCCTGGATGCTAATCACCTCATTAGGATTCACATAATGCGCCCCTTCCCCCCACCGCTGCCTCGGAGGCCGCTCATGGACTGAAGAGGGAGGGGAGAACGTGCTCCAGGCGCCCGAACCGCGAAGTAACCAAATTATCGATCGAACGCGGGAAAGGGAGGGGGCGGAGCCCGAGGAGGTGCCGCCCCCACCAGGGGCTGGCCGGAGCGGAGCAGGGGCAACGCGAAGCCCGCAACTGGCGCCGTTTCCAAGGTGTGCAGTTCAGACACCTGGAGAAGCAACCTCTCTTTCTCCGCCGCCCCCCATATCCTGCAAGGCCCAGAGTCCTCAAGCTTAGGGCAGCTTGGCAAACGCATCGAATGGTGACTGTGGTGTGGGTGGGGGGATGCAAGTGCAAGACGTCGCCTCCTATTCCCCAAGTTTACACTTCGGTTTGCGCCAAAATCCTAAGGGAAACGAGTCGCACGCAAAAAGCCAAGCCTATTGCAGCAGCAGCAGCAGCGCCGTATGCACTGGGATCGACCCAATCTCCCGCTGAGGCAGCCAGGGCTCGACGAGAGCTGCATTTTGCAGCCACACAAGCCACATACACGACGTGGGAGGGGCTCTCTGCGAGAGGTTTCCGCAGCAGCGAGTCTCCCCAGGCAGGCTCTCAGAAAATGCCAAGCGCAAAAGCGGCCGAGCTGGCAAGCAGCGCGCACACCCGCCGCCTCTCCCTTCCGTCACGTGCCAGCAGCACCACCTTGCAACGACCGAGGCAAGGCAACTCGAGCGTCGTCCGGAAAGGAAGTCCCTGCGCTGCAGCGGCGAAGGGGTTAAAGCGGAGTTCCGTCACGCGCAGCGCCGCTTGCACAAGGCTGCCACGCTCCCTGAGACCTGTGCTACTGCAGCAGCAGCAGCAAAGGAAAGGAAAGGTCCTCGGCACTCCGCGGCCCGCCCCGGGACTACCCACCTCCCGCGCAAAAGCAGGGGCTGTTTCTAGGCTCCCCACCCGTCCACCGAAAATGGATCTGGTTGTACAGCTCCTGACACGGACAGACAGGCAGAAAAACAGACATCCCCTTTGCTCCATAAGCTCTCACCTGTTCTGAAAGGCGATTAAGAGCCTCGGATCCAGGATGTTTTCCTCCGGCTCCCACGTGTTATACCTTGCAAAGGAAATGAAAGGAGGTTTTTATTTATTTTAAATGCACACCACTTAGCTATATAGTGCAATAATTCACATTTGTAGTTCTCGATGGGAGCTCTTAAACACACACACACACACACACACACACCAAGTTGCATGTTAAGGGGCCATTTTAGAGACTGGCCAAGTTAGCCGCCGCCCCCCTCCGGCTTCCCAAGACAGATTTCAAAGTGCGCATTCAGGACTCCAGCCGCTACAGGGAACTGGGGGATGGGCGGAGGGGCTGTAGACTGGGCGGGCGGAGCAGAGAATCTTGTTTATTTAGCGCGGTTATTATTCCGGAGGAATGCCATGCATGCGGCGGCTGGCCAAAAGCCCACCCCCCCTTTCCAAATCTGCCCCCTCCACCGTCTCGGCATCCTACCCAGTTCCAGCGCCTTTCCCGCCCCCTCCTCGCAGGCTCTGTCATCCAGACCCCCACGGAGCTTCCCAGCTCCTGCACGTCTCCTCTGATTCAGCAGAAGTAGCAGCACGGACCGAGGGACGGTCAAGTTCAATCGCAGTCCCCTCCCAGCCAGTAAGGCAGCACCCTGGTGACAGTGAGTGGCCGCCTTCCCCCGGGTCTCTCTCCCTCTCGGGCCAGATTCGAGAATTTAAATCGGATCCTATTCAATGTATTATTTATTTATTTGTGGGGGTCCTCCCCCTTCTCCTGCTCTCGCCCTCCCTTCTCTTCCTCGATCTCGGGTCTGCTCGGTTCTGCAATATGGAGCCTGCTTTCCAAAGGAGCCATTTTCTGCAACTGCTGAACATCAGTCGCCGCCTTTGCCTTCTCTCTCTCTCTCTCTGAAGCTGCTGGCTCTGCACCGCTTTGCCTCGTTTCTCTAGGCTGCCCCCCCCAAATTGCATGCACTCCCCCCCCCCTTTTTATGCATGCGTTAAAAAAAAACACCGAGGCATTTTCCGGATTGCTGGAGCATGCAAGCGGAGTGCGTTAGCAGGCAGGCAAGCCAGCAGACTCGGCAGCCCGCTCGAAGGTTCCCCCGTCGCCCTTCCCCAGGACTTACTTGGAGGACCATCCTCTCCATTTGACCAGATACTCCACTCGGCCCTGCGAATAAAATAAGGGGAGGGGGGAGGAATAAAAGACGTCAGTCTCCTGAAAGATCCCCCCACCACGCAGTCTGCAGACCAGCAACCCTCCCCTCTCCGCCCTCCACCCTGGAGCTGCAAGGACCGTCGCTCCCTCACCTTCCGGATACGCTTCTTTTCGATGCTTTCCACCGCAAAGACATGCTCACCCACCGTCGGCAGCTCCATTTTGGGTAGGGGGGGCTGGGTGGGTGGAGGAGGGGAGCGTGAGATCGGGCGGGGGGAAACCCTAGGGCTGGGGTGTCTTGCAGTCAGACAGCGCACTCCAGCTCTCTCCGCTCGCTTCGCCTTCCCAGACAACTGAGCTCCAGCCTCTTGCAGCAGCGCAACTCATGCAAATCATCGCAAGGACGTCACGGGGGGGCGGGGAGCTCGCTGCCTGTCAAAGAGAAAAGCGGCCCGGGGATTGGCTCGGCGCCGTCGAGGGGCGGGAAAAGCGGGGGAGGGGAAACGGAGAGAATGTTAGGGAGGCGGGGGAGAAGGGGTTTCGATTTAATCCCCCCCTTGCATGCAGGCGGTGTGTGAGAGTAAAGGGGGGGGAGGGTCGATTGCTCCATTGCTCAGCAATCTACCCTAGTCAGCCCCCCAACCTAAAATTTCGAAATCCGCCCGTGTAAAAAAAAAAAGTATTTAGGGCGGTATTCAGTCTCTCTGGATAGCAGCACTGCAGGGGCAACTGTGCCCTTTGGCAAAGTCTTATGCAGGGAAGGAACCTAGATTTTTATTTTCGGGGACCAACCCGGAGGACTGAGTAGTTGCAAAGTAGCAAACCCCGCCCCCCAAAACACCTTCGTAGCGTCAGAAGCATAGGGACTGATCCGCAAAGTTATCCATTTATTTGCTGTGGGGTTTGTTCTGCAATGACGTGAGGGTGGGGGGATGACCTTTTTTAACACGACGGAACAAGCTTTAGATTAAAGGGGGCCCGGCAAAGTCTTTATCTGGGAGAGAAGGGCAACCGGGGGCAACGCGGTGGTGGGTGGGCGAGGTTTCAGCCACGTCAAACGTCAGATAACATGAACAAGTCCACTCCGGCCCTTGGGCAGCCTAGTCTCGCGACAGAAAAGTAGCTTCACCTTGGAAAAAGAATGGCTTCTCCTGGTTTGCTGGATTTAAATTCTGATCTTGGATCCCAGTCTGTCAATCCTTTAAAAATAATAAAATAACTGTCCACGAGAGGACCCCTTTTCGAGATGGTCACCTAAGGATTCCACTAAAGGTTTAGGAACCTTCTGTCTCTTTACGCAGCGCGCATAAGGGCAGAAGTTGAACAATAAAAAAGGCAGTGGAAACCTTCGCTGGAGTGGCAGGTGAGCGGGAGGAGCTGTGAGGGCGGAGAAAGTGCAGGGCACCCCCGAAAGCTGCGAGCGAGCTGGGGTTGGGGCCGTGCGAGCCCTCGGCTCTGAACCCCAGTGGGAGACTTTGGGGGAGCACTGCAGCATGTAACCCTCGTCCCCGCAAGAGAGGGAACCGTCTAGGAGAGGTGGCACGATATAAACAGGGGAGGCGATGGGAGCTGGCCAGCTCTTGATGGAATCGGGGCGACGTGGAAGATGAGAAGTGGAGAACTTCAGAAGATGTGGACACACAGAGACACAAAGACAGACTGACAGACAGACGGACGGAGAAGCAGTCTCGCAACAGAGACAGACCTGCTGCCCGTATCCCGAAAAAACTTCTGTGAATGGGCACAAGATTATATTCCCCAAGTGTATGGGAAAGGGGCGAATCCCCCTTGTCAGTCGCCCCACAAGGTGGGCGGGAGAGAGGGCACCTTTTTCGGAAACTAGAGCCCAGCCCGATTGGTGCGATCGTGGCTTCCACCGGGAGAGTTTACCAGAGGCTGGACAGTTCCCCGCCTAACCGGAGCTCACACACGTGCGCAAAGTTGCCCAGTTTTTTTGGAGGGGGGGGGGCGGTTTCATGAGAAGGCGATCGACCCATTTGCCCCGGAGTGTCGTGCGCCTTAGGGGAGTACCTGATTTATTGTGGCGCGATGAGTTGGTGGCTTTCTTTTTTCGGGAACAGTCGATTTAATCAGCTGGCTTATAGAGAGAGAGAGAGAGAGCTAGAGCTAGCCCCCCCCCCGGGCTATAATTCCAGCAGAGATCCTTTAATGGGGCTCGGCGTGGGCTAAGCGATGTTACGGCAGAAAAGCGCCAAAACCTCTGTCCACACACGGCCGAGGTTCTGGGAGCTCATCGGGTCTGAGAAGAAGCGGATTAATCTCAGCAAAGGGGAGCATTTACCACACGGATGGAATCGTCCTTCTCTCGCAGCCAATTGCGCGAGATGTTGCTGGAAACCGGAGCACCGGGGACGCGCTGGCGCTAAACTAGTGGAGGAGGGAGGGGAAGGGGATGCCTGGCTTTCTACGATCTCCCAAATCGGCTCTGGCCAAACGGGTCCTTCGGATGACACAGACAGGGGAGGATGCGTAAGCAGCCAGCTAGCCGGTCTATTCAGCACACCGTGGAAAGATGGTCGACCCAGATCGTTTTTTATTAATTAACCAGCAATAACCTTTCCTTAAAAAAAAAATCAGAGGAAGGCGGGCCCTTAGAACTGTACATCAAGCCCTCTTCTTACCACGCCCCCTTCCTCTCCCTATATTTTCCACGTGCTGTTAGCGGGTGTGTTTTTTTAAGCAGCAAGTGAGCAATCCCATCTTCTCTCAGTTGCCCGCCAGTGCGCCCCCTACTGATGTCTGCGGGAAATTTAGCGCCGCTTCAACCGAGCGGAATCTGCGAACTGCCCTGGAGGCGAGGAGCCCGATCCGCGGATCAGGAAATGGAGGGTGGGATGGGGGGAAGTTTGCATTTTCTGCATTTGGATAATACAAAAAATGCAATCGCTAGTCCCCAATCTATGCGCTACAGTTGATCCTATGGGGGCGGGGGCGGATACTGCATTCATAGGGACCTGCAAGATCCTATTCTGCTACTTTGCACTAATTCAGAAGAGCTTTCGCCTCTGTTTCTGTACTGATCGAGGATTAGACTTTTCCTTTTCCACATACTATCCAACATACTAATGCTATCCAATCACTATTCCACATACTACCAAGTGGGAGAAACCAGACCTCTTACAACACTTTATACCTGTGAACACTAAATTGTAGTTAGGATGTTTTAAATCGTTGATCCGGATCAAGAGTTCTTCGCAATACATTATTGGATTACCCGCCATTTTAAAAGCTGGGTGTGTGAGCTCTTTAAAAAGTAGGACATAATTCGGTAGGTCTGCTGCTGGTCTGGATCATTTTAGGATCCTCGGTTCTGCTGCTGAAGTGATTTTACCCAGTTTGAAAAAGGGGGTGGGGGCTGTCAAATAGGTAGAAGAAGGAAAGAAGCTGTTTGACCAAGTGGAACATTGCTGTCTCAGCCTGAAACCAAAGACACAGCGGAGAGAGAGAGATTGGGAAAGAAAGAAAACAATTGACTCGGTGCAAGGATTGTAGCAGAGAGAATGCGCAAAACACCCAAGCTCAAATCCCGCGTTGCAGAATCTCCAGAGCAAAACCGAATGAGGGACAGAGACAGACTCTAAACAAACGGATTGTCCCCCGATTTTGCAGCATTTACCTCGTTAGAGCCCAAATTCCCTACCTTGCTTCTTTCCCAAAAACTTCATTCCACTCCGTTTATCCCACCGGGAATGAGTTTTCATTGGACAGGCAATAGGGAATAGTTCGGAGAGAAACGGACGAATGACTTCCCCGCTTCTCCCATGCGCTTCCAATCGAAGCCCCACCGGACTCTGGCATTGTGTCATAACGACACACGACATGACGCAATAAAACACAGCGACCCTGAAGCTGGGAGAAGCAGCCTGCGGGTGGCCCGAAGAGGGAAGCCGCTAGAACCGCGCAGAAGAGGGGAAAGAGGATTAAACAACCTGGAGACAGTGAATAACAACCATGGAAAAGTTCAGGGGGTTGTGTATTTTAAAAGCTGCGATAAACACACACCGGAAAAGAGATGATCGTCTGGAATAGGGTTTGCCAAGTACTGACGCCTTAAGGGTCTTTAAGAGTTGGCTAGAAGGGAGAATTTCTCCAGGTGCAGCTTCTCCTGCCACAAAGCACTGCAGGGACAGGAAAACTTGGGCCACAGTACTTCATCCTCTGACCCTCTGAAAGATGCAGATGCTCTCCTGGCTCAGGATCACCTGACAATAATAGCTTAAGCAGAGGGGTTGTGAAATAGCAGCTGCGGCATCTACAGCAAGATGATATTATTATTAATTTGTATACCGCTTTTATGCCCAAAGGGCAGTTGGCTGCCTCCATTTCTGGCATTCTTTGTTAGCCTGCGGGGGAAGAGTTTAGGATCCAGCGCGTTTTCCTTTCGTCCCCATTGCCCCCCCCCCCTCGTGTCACCAATAAAGCAGTTTCCTGGGCAGGCGGGGAGATCTCTGCCTGAAGCCACGAACTCCATTCTGCCACTTCTCACCTGTATGTGGAAATAGACAGGAAAACGGAAAGCTCACAACTAAAATCCCAAGGTCCCAAGAACGAAATGCCCTGCCATCTGCTCGTGCCAGGACTACATCACACGGACATCTAAAATCAGCCAGGAGAATTGCAGTTACCAATCGTTCTCTCACTCACGCATATACACACACAGCGTCAGCAAACTGGCGCATGGCTCTTTAAGGGAATATTATTACATTCAAAGGGGCCGCACAAACAAACTCTCCTCTCGACCTGTCTCTAAAGTGTCCGCTGGATTTCTTTAATCCGGGCTGTTGAGGAAGTGAGGACCAAGTCCTAAACTGCGAACCAGGAATACCGAGCGAACCATTTTAGACACCAGGATCTGACTTGCACTAGCCACTCCTGCTGCTGCGCTGAATTTTGGAGTAACCGATTGTAACCCGGGTGGTGGTGGGGAAGTCGGTTGGGCATTAGGTCGGTTGTAGGTTAACTTGGAGGAAGCAGGGCAGCGGATGGAGCCGACCTCCAGGATGGAAGCAGCGGGCTTGATTCTGTTGAACTCCCCCGGCACCTCCATGGGGAGAAGTCCTTTCCTGGAAGTGATTTGGGCTGGGGAAAGAAGAACCCATTTAATAGGTCAGGAATCTATTTTGGATTTAAAAGGGCGGAGGCATTCGTTCAATGCTGGCGGCTTGTGATTCATTATAAACCCCAGGAAGTCTCGCCGGCCCACAGGGTTTTGGGTGTTCCAAAGCAGCTCCCTTTTTTAAGACTTGGAGGGGGGGTATTTGAAATGAGTTAGGAAACGATCCCGGGGCGACGATCTCGAAGCTTTCCAGGAATTTCCGTGAGGACTCTGGAATCCCAGGATCATCTAAAAAAAAAAAGTTCTTAAAGAGGTAAAGAATTTACGCGTTGGGAGGAGGCGGAAGAAGAAGAGGAAAAGGGAGAAATCCCCGTGCGTGTGTTGTTAATATTTCCTTTTCCCGCGGCGCTCCTCGCCCTTCCGGAGCGGAAAGAGTTAAGCGTTTCCGCATGCAAATGAGGCCGGAGTTGGCAGCCACGTGTGTCGCTCGCGAGGGGGAGGAAAGCGAACGCCGATGGCTCGCTGCGCGCTCGGCTTCTGCAGGCGCCCGCTGGGACCAAGAGCGGCCGGGCAGCGGAGTGGCGGGGAAGGGCCGCGGGTTCCTCGCTTGTTCCCATAGCGTGGAAGGCTGGATTTTAATTTTTTCCCCAAATTAACCCCCGCTGCCCTTCCTCCCTCCCCCGGCAACAAGGCCTCTTCCTTGGAGCTTTGTTCCTTTTGTTATCCAAGACAGGCACCCAATCGTAAGGGTTGCACAGGGTCTCTACCCCAGCCAGTTCGTGGACGAAATCTACGATGATGCCTAACTGGCGGCGTTCACACGTGCGTGGTGTTCTTGACTCCGCGACTGCAACAGGCACGTGGGGACGCGCTCTCAGCACCTCTCTATGTCAGGAGGTTCGAGTTCAAAGGGGGAATCAAATTTAGACGCTTGTCAAAAAATTATTTCCCCTTGTCTTTGTGCACGTCGAAACCAGGTGGGATACAGCCACAGTTCAGAACCGCAAAGTTAAAACGAAGAAGAGATGGGATTCGGGGGGGGGGGGACAAACACATCTATTTGCCTTTTTTGTTAACTGATACCGATTTGGGCATATTTAAAGAGTTTAACGTGTTGGTGAGCCGGTGTAATGTCTACCCCGTTTCCCTTCTCATTGGCTGTGAAGTCGAACCCTGCCCACTTTGGGTGGGGGACTTTGGCTGGGCAGTCTGCGGACCATAGTGGGAACCTGGAGTCTGCCACTTGTTCTTATTTAGGAGCAAGTTTTTTGGGGGAAGGATTGCTCCCAGGCTGTTACTGGTGGGGGAGCACAGTACAGATGCACAATTAGTGTTATCGTTACTATTACTAATGATAATATGGAAAAATCATGATTATGTCTTCAATTTATATTCCTGTCTCTTCTTTTTCTCTTCTTTAGGAGATGGCAGCCATTTTGTGTTAGGTGACTTATTTCCTTGAGTAGTGTAAAAAGTTGCTCCTGATGCCTGGGGTAGACAGCAAACTGTTCTTATGCCTTGAAGAAACCTCCATTATTATCATTTTTACCATTAAGGGTGCATGCCTTAGCTAGAAATATGCCAACTGAGGAGCCATAAAATGATAGCTGTTATGCCAACGTTGAAATATATTCCACTCCCAGCACAAATAGAGGAGTGCTGGGCCTGTCAATAAGGAACCGTAGAATTGGGGGGAATTTTTCGGTGAAGGATGAAAGAGAAAAGTTGTGTACCTCTAATAGGGACAACCTTTTGTTGTTTTCTAACTAAACAGAAATTCAATGAAAGAAAAGTGAGGCACAAATGAAAGTTAAATTTAAACACTTAAAAATACTTTTTTGGGGGAGGGGGTAATTTAATTCTTTATTGACAAAGCACACAATTGCACTAGCTCCTATGGTGCACTGAACACACACACATGCTTCTGGCAACTAAGTAGGTGGCATCCCTTCTTCCTTTTTACTTAAAAATACTTTTTAATACAAAAGCTGAAATCTTTAGAACAAAACGAACGACTCCAGGAAGAAGACAATAGAGGGGGTGAGGGATGACACTGCTGCGCAATAAAACACAAAAGCCCAGAACAAACTGAGCAGTTAGAAAGGCCTTTGATGAAGTTCTTTATTTTGTTAGGTAATTGTAGAAGCAGCACATAAGAACATTCACAAACACACAGGGTTGAGGATGTGGGAAGGAGGAAAAGTGAGAGACTGTCATAATGACGGCTGTCATTGTTTGGATCCCTTGGCTATTTTGGAATACATACAGAACTGCTTTCCAGACTGGCATATCTTGAACATCTGAAGAACACTGCACTCCTTTGTTTGGTTTTGAAGGAACAACACGGTGTGGCCTAGAATCCTGCAGTGAGGGGATGTTTGTGTCTGTAACATTTTCTTATCACTTTTCAATAACTGTGTTTCCCAAAAGCAGTTCCCAGTAATAATAACACCACAACAATGAAGAATAATAGCTATAATCGGCAATTAGAAAACAACAGCAACAAAGCAGAACGGCAGATACAACAATGGCATACAGCCAAAGTTTGTCAGATAAAAATCAAACAAAAAAGACAAAACAAAAATCAATGGATATTTACTTGCCCTTAAGAAGAAAGAGACTGTACCTGCCAGCCTACCTTCAAGGGAACTGGAGGTTAGAGACCACTGCCAAAAAGGTCCTGTTCCTTGTCAGTGACAGACAATTCCCTAACTGGTAGAACATGAAGCAGGACCTGATTAAAAGATTTTAATATGCCAGGGCAACCGTAGGGAAAAAGAAATAAAACGAAACAGAAACATAAATAAAAAATAAAAAAAATCCTTCCAGTAGCACCTTAGAGACCAACTAAGTTAGTTATTGGTAGGAGCTTTCGTGTGCATGCACACTTCTTCAGATACACTGAAACAGAAGTCACCAGACCGTGGGTGGGAATGGGTGATTGGGGTTTACCACACCCATCAGCCAATCACCCATTCCCACCACCCTTCTGAGTAATACCCCTCCCCACCCTCTCACTATATTTAAGGGTCTGGTGACTTCTGTTTCAGTGTATCTGAAGAAGTGTGCATGCACACGAAAGCTCATATCAATAACTAACTTAGCTGGTCTCTAAGGTGCTACCGGAAGGAATTTTTTAATTTAATTTTGTTTCGACTATGGCAGACCAACACGGCTACCTACCTGTATATGGCCCATCCCACTTTGGGCTTTAAAAACCAGTGATCGCAGCTTGAATTTGACCATAGGATTGTAGAGTTGGAAGGGACCCCAAGGGTTCAACCCCCTGCAATGTAGTTGGTTTGGAAGTGATGTGGAAGCATACAGCTGTTAACATGTCGGCAGTCAATTTCTGTTCTGGTTGAGGCCTCTAGACCATCTTCAAGGGTAGTCCCATATAAAGAGTGTTAACAGTAGTCTAATCAATAACGATACAGCATGAACCAACTGTGGCAAGAGCTTTGCCCTCCAGTAGTGGGTGCAGTTTGTGCATCAAGTTAAGCTGGTCAAAGGCACTTGAGGTCAGAGCCATCACCTGGGCAGTGCAGTGCCAAGGAGAACTCCCAAGTTGCGAACCCCATAACTAACCGCTTAGTATCATTATCTCTGTTCTGACATAAATGAGCTTCAGCTTATTAACCTTCATTACTGATTTCAAGCATGCAGTTCAGGGACTTTACTGCCACGTGGAGATCTGATAACGAAGCAAAATGAAATTGGGTGTTGTGTGTGCATTGATGATACAACAACCCAGTTCCCCAGAGAACTTCACCAACAGTTTCATACACATGTTCAATGGCATAGGAGAGAATATAGATCCCTGCTGAACTCGAAGAAACACAAGAAAGCAGTCGATTTGGAGCATCTTCAAAGCATGGTAACTTGTCAGGCGTTTAATTAGCACCACATTTTTAACAGCTAAAGCTGCCGTCTTATGCACATTTACCTGGGAACAAGCCACTTCGAAAGTATATCCCAAGGAAACACATACAGGATTGTCTGGAATAATACAGAAAGTGATCTTGTATCTTCAAGTTCTGTTTGGTAAAATGTAATATAGTTTTGTATCAAAACCTGGTTTTTGGTGTGTTACGGTAATGGCTGCAGGAGGCAGGGCAACATATATTCATTTCATGGTTCACTTTGTCTTAACAAGAGCAATGTATGATTTTATGTGCACGACTGCTTTGTGGAGGGGGAGATGTGTTGGGGAACGCCATTTGGATTTCTTTGCCCTAGGCACCGGAATAGGCTAGGCCATATTCCACTCCATGGGTGATAATCAGTTGTGGCATCCTGTTTGTGAAAACAGGTTTGGGGACCCTCTGAAGCAGATTTAGGAGGTGGGGCTGCAGGAGGCAGGGAAGGAGAATCCTGTCACATCCACTGATGTGAAGTTGGATCTCTCTCCAGGGTTTCTGCAACACAGGACATTTCGCGAAGCTCTGCTGGTATATTGCAAAATAAGCGAGGACCCATGAAAAACAAGAGACAACTCCCGGCACCCCAACTCATAATGCTTTGGTTAAAGAGAAAGCATTTGTGTTTGGTGGGGTGCGGGGGGTGGGAGGGTGCTATGATTAAACCAGCCAGTCAAATGGATGAAGTCTTAAAACAGGAAATAAGCACTAGCCAAAGGCTTGTCTGTAGCAAGAAGGACAGTCCCTTGGACTGGGAGCAGAACAGGAAAAGCAAAGCTCTCTGAGCTTGCAAGGAAAGGGCCTACTGGATATCACCATTTGCACACACCTTTCTGGCTAGGAGCTGAACAAAGACCTTGCCTCTGCACTGTCACAGAGCTGAGCCAATAAAAAGCAAACTGATATTACAATTTTGATTTCCCTGGGGGCCTGATGGGGCTTAATGTAAGAATTATTATCCATTGTGAATAGCAGCTGATATAGAGTGCTCAGAGGAAATGGTGGTGGTGGTGTTTTTTTTAAAACCCAAACCAAAACAGTCATCTACTTAATGCTAAATTTTCACCTGCATGCATTAAGAGTTTGTTAAACTTGTTTTAAAGAGAGGGGATAAATGGCCTGTAATCTTGCCTAATGTACATTTGCAAGAAAATCAGAGAAAGATAAATGCAAAAAAAGATCTGGGTGAAAAGTGCCTGCTGGATGAGGTTGGGTATTTTTTAAATTATTATTCAACCCCCCTCCATCAGGGTATTTCTGCAGGCCCACCCCACGTTTATTCCACTGAACTTTAAAAGGATATCTGCATCTGAAAAATCTCAATATTTCCTTTTTAGAAACAGCCAAGCATAAAAGTGATCCATCGCCCCCCTGCTGCCTTTATACCTTTCCTGAACACACAAATTAATTTACTCAGGTTCTTTGTTTAAAAGAAAAAAAACACCCACGGCCCACACCCAGCTACAATAATCCTGCCTCAGGTGAAAACAAAAGAGCCCACCATTAAAGTGTATAAAGGCAGAAGCCACATCTCGGAGACTGCTAGCATTCAGTGTTATAATCATTCAATTTCAAAGAGTTTAAATTGCTAAAAAGCCAGATCTGACAATATGGATTTCGGCAGGATATTCATCTGGCTTTTCTTCCTGGACTGATTGCACATGATTTGACAGTAATGATTATAATGGGGCCTATAATGTTGTCTTTGCCGTCCTACTACCTTGAAGGTTTATGAACTGGTTATGTATCTTTTCCTTTGTAGGTTTTTTATTTTTTTAAGGCATATTGCTCAGTTCCACAGAAACCACAACTGTACCATATACACAAGTGGGATCCAGTTGTTGTTGTTTTTTAAATTCACTTTATAATACATATATATGGAAATACTGTATTACAAATATGGAGGTCTGAAATCATTAAAAGGAAGGTGAAGGGCTGAAATCTTATTCACACCTACCTGCGAATAAGTTATATTGAGCTTCATTCTGAGTAGACAGGCATATGTTTTCACTGTTGCCCAGATTAAAATAGATACGCTTGTGAAAAGGTATTTTGAGCTGATGGTTATTATTGTAAAATACCATAGGGATTACTTGATTCAGGCAGTCGAGAAAGAACACTTAATGCAAAAAAGTTTGTGTTTTCTTAACCAAGAATCCTTAAAGTATTTCCTGATCTGAGATCCCAGAGCAGACCTCTGCATGGCAAATTAATCAGTTAAGAGTAAAGGCAGTTAATTGACCAAAAACCCTTGAATTGGTTGACAACCCTACTCATTTGTTTCTGAGAGAAAAGGTTTACACAAAGTTTCTTGTGAAAGGTTTCTAAAGACCTTTAATGATTCTTCCTGGCAATTAAGACCAAGATAATGGTATTCTAATCACATCCTGCTTACTGATATTGTTCTGTTGTTCAGAACTGCGAACAACAGAACAATGTTGAACAACTGTACACTGTACTCATTTTTCTCTGATTTCACCCGTTTCCACAGCACATGTGTGCAAACGTGTAATAATTTATACAACACTTTTCATAGTCCACAGAGAACTTTTCAGTATTCAGATCAACCCATGATTACACCAGACTCTCTCTCCCCCACCCCCCATGATAGAGGTCCTAAGGACTCTTCATAAATGTAGAATTTATGCCCTCCCATAAATCTATTTGGGGTTCGCAGAGATCAAGTTCGCTGACCCATCCTCTACACTGGCTCCGAGTATGTGAGTAGCTTATCATTTTTCCGGGTAGTGTACATGGACCACAGACATGCTCATTTGAAGGGAGGGACTCTCACCTCCCAGTCAGATGTCAGGTTCTTTCAGGAAGTAGATTTTGTCTTGCTTTTCAGTAGCACTGCTGTCCAGCAATATTAGAACCTTCAGATGTTGTTGAACTACAGATCCCGCCCCCCCAGCCATTGGCCATGCTTGCTGAGGCTGATGGGAACTGTAGTTCAGCAACGTCTGGCAGGCCAAAGATCCCCCATACCTGATATAGAGAGAACCACTATTGTGAATAAACTTGCCCAGTTCAGACCAGTGCAGAATCTCAACATCATGGCTGGGGGTGACACTGAGACCTTGCAGCTCAGGTGGGCAATTGGAAAGGCAGCAGATCTGTGTGCCTTCCTCTGATCCAACCACAATTTAGCACCATTTAGCAAATGGATCAATGCCAGGGGTGGGGGGTGGAATCACTGCTGGCTTACAAAAATGGATACATTTTGGGTAGAACAGGACTTTGTTCAACAAAAGGGAAAACCGATTTATTTTTAAAGGGATTTCTAAAATTCATTTTCACCACCACATATCCATATTAAACTGTTGATCGGACTAGTTGCTCTCAGAAATCACAGGGTGAGGAATAAAAGATGTGGAAAAGAGAACAAAATAGGAGGTGAGCTGATCTGCAAAGCTAGCTCAGAATCAGTGTGGGTGTTTTTCCAGCTATGCAAGCCCTTCTGTCCCTCATTCATTCCAAGATGCAGGTAGGAAACCTCACTCTGTTGTTCAGTTTAATGTTTCCATCTGACTTTGGCCTATCCTTCTGCTGAAGCAGACCTGTTTGAAATGTAGGGCACAAACCACTTGCCTGTGGGTCACATAACATGCAGGGGATAAAAGAAAGAAGAAGATGGGGAAGTAGACTTTAAAGAGAATGAGAGGTTGGGGGGAAAGAGAGAGAGAGAGAGAGACAGAGAGAGAGAGAGAGAGAGAGAGAGAGAGAAACCATGAAAATGAAAATCAATCAAATGCCACAAAGTAAGAGGCACACAAAGAATCCCTGCTCTGGGTTGCCAAGGCAAATCTGTCAATAGAGTATTGAACAAGCGCATCTGACTTGCAATTATTGTCCCTTTCGAAATGCAACTTGCTCCTTCACCTCACAGATCAAGCCGGGTGCTTGATGGCTTCACAGATTCAGAGTGAAAGGTAGATATTCCGAATGGA